CATGAGTCCTGAATGGATATGGACTTCCTCAGCATCCTGCTCCAGAAGAACAGCTATGAATGAGGTAAGGTGCACAGTTTCAAACTCCAGCTCCCTATTAGAGCAATGGGAGACCTCAGACTGGGACAACTGGAATTATTTCTGCCTTAGCACCTGGAAGCCCTTGGTCCAAGGGGTGTCCAGCCAGGCTTCCCCTTGCCCTCTCCATGTCCTATCCCCAGACCCAGTGCAGCTAGGAAGTTCTTACTGGTGTAGAGAAGGCTGATGGGTGGGAAGGATGGCAGGTTTTGGCCTCTGGCAGTCTTCTTCTCCTCAAAGCCACAGGGCAGGCCGCTCAAGAAGTCTTTGCGCTGTTTGTTGAGGCCCAGCCACAAGTACATCTCCATCTTGGCCTGAACTGTCCAGCCAGCAGGTCCAAACCCCCTCTTCCCAGGTAGCTGGGCACAAAGGACAGAAGAGTTTACATGGATATAGGGAAGGCTTTAGAGATGGACAGATCTCCTTCTGGTGCATCACTTGTACCACTGCCCCTTAAAACCGGAGACCCAGCCTCATCATTTTGGATGATGCCCAGGTAGCTGGGCACAAAGGACAGAAGAGTCCTGATATAGGGAAGGCTTTAGAGATGGACAAATCTCCTTCTGGTGCATCACTTCTACCACTGCCCCTTAAAACCAGAGACCCAGCCTCATCATTTTGGATGATCACTCTACTCTGGCTCCTGAATTATCTTCTTGTCTTCCTCTTCCTAAGCCAGCATCCTCTTTCGTGGCCAGCTGGATCAAATATCTCTCTCCTTCCAGACATTTCTTACTTACCAGACTGGGTAAGATCAGTGGCTGACACTTCCAGCAGCAAACTTCCACCCCTACCAGTAGACTATGGGTCTATTTTGCCTAGTATTCAAGCCCCCCTCATATCCATCTGCCACCCTCTCAGTCTATCCTTCCTCCCTCTCCCTCTTCCCCCAGGGAAGACAAATTGGCACCTTGAGGAAGACGGTCTTCACTTTGGCGCAGTCCTTGCCCATCTCCTCGTCCACGATGGAGTAGAGGATATCCTTGGAAGGGATGCGAGCGTAGGCAATGCGCTTGTTGTTGCTCATCATCCAGATGAAGATGTCGGGAATAGTGTGCTGGGGCTGCAGACACCAACGAAAAGCCCTGTCAGTGTCTCAGCTCTTTCTCACCACTGGGGCACCAGCGGGGCTGGAGACCTTCTGAAGGCAAACTCAACAGTTGTGACAGGAGATGGATGTTCCTATTGTCATGTTAGGGACATTAAAAGGGTTTTGAGCCTCCCACTGCAGAAGCTAAGCTCAGCAGGGTGAATCCTAGCAGGAAAGAAACTGGGATTGACCATTTTTCTAGTTTAAAAAAATTACTTTTGTATTAGAAGACTACAAGTTTTTCCTTTTTTTCTTCATTCAGTGGCCATGGAGACTATAGGGCAGGGGCATATCTTGTTTCCTTGCTATATAAGAGGTTCCCTGTCCACACAAGTCCCATAACACCTTATAGTCTGGCTTATGTTCTGCTGTGGTGAGTCAAAGCCTGCCCATGCTACTGGGGACCTCTCCTGTCTACAGGGCTTGCAGAGAAGTCTCCATCCATCCCAGGCTGCTGTTGGCATGCTCCATCCCTGTCTCCATGCAGAGGGGACTCACCTCATCTGCCAAGAACCGGAGTTTCTGCAGGAAGTTTTGCACCAGTTTCAGCTTGTCTTTCATGGTGTTCTTCTTCACCTGCGACCGCAGACTCGTGGCTTGCTGCCCCATGTTCTCCTGCGGTTAAAGAAGGAGAGCCCAGGACATTGTGTGAGCAAGAGCAGAATGGAGCATGGAGAATGGAGTAATACCTAGCAGGTCCCTTGTGTTTGGGAAGGGGTGGTGAGGAGGCAAATGCCTTAATCCCTGCATGTGCATCCTGCTAATGGTAATTCTGACACCCCTCCATCAGCCTTGGTGTGATGCAGGGAGGGTCCCTGATGTCTGTGCCAGCAGAAGGTACGCAGGACAGAGGGGTGTCAGCTGTGCTTAGGGCATTTTGGGATGGCTTCAGCCCTGGTGTTAAGGATAGCTTCTCCCCTTTGACTGAACCTGCTGTAATTCAGCACCGGACTGTTCAGAAAAGGGGATGTGGAGGCTTTCCTGTGTTATATTCATTGCTTTGTAGGATCCAGCTGGCTACAGAAGCCAGTGTCCATGTCTGTGCCAGCTGGATAAGCCACCTTTGCATTATCTCTTTGTACATCTTTGCACCTCCAACTCCTTTGCAAGGAGCTGGGCTACCAGCCCCAAACACCTCAGCCGTATCTACCCCTGGAGCAGCTGTGCTCTGCAGGGTTCCCCAAAATTACTCCTTCCCAGTTTCCTCTGCTGCTCGACAACGATGCAGCTCCTCCTCTGTACTCCTGGATTTCTTTCCAAGGCAAAGCAGAGTGTAGTGGAGAGGAGGCAGCAGCATGGACCCAAGTGCCACCTTGGACCCATGCAATACCCAAGTGCTCTTGAGCTCCTCTTTTCAGAAATCTCAAACCTTCAATCCACCAAGACTGGAAATCAGCATGGACCAATGTTCCTCATTGCACTGACAAGATCGACTCCTCATTTGTGAGTCCTCCTCCTCTTTTCCTGGCTGAACCCCACTTACCAGCTCCCGCATGCAGGACTTGAGCCTCTCCCGATCCAGCCTCGTGCGGGAAGGGTGGTGCTGGTCCTTGTCAGCCAACGACACAAAGCGCCTGGTGGAAAAGATCAGCAGAATGAATCCCATGGAAGACCACGGGCTCAACCCAAGAAGCTGTGTCAGGCTGGATCTCTGCTAGCAGCAGGGCACATCCCTGGAGGAAAATGCCCTCATTTTCCCCAGTTTGCAATACAATTGTGGCCAAATGCCCTAGTGGGATCAAATGCTGAGTGTCATGCATGGGGTGTAGGTGCCAACTAGGTACCATCCTGTGGAGGCCACAAGACTGAGGCTTTCAGAAGAAATTCTTCATTATGAGGGTGTTGAGGCCCTGGCCCAGGTTGCCCAGAGAAGCTGGGGGTGCTCCCTCCCTGGCAGTGCCCAAGGCCAGGTTGGCCGGGGCTTGGAGCAGCCTGGGCTGGTGGAGGTGTCCCTGCCCATGGCAGGGGTTGGAACTGAGGGAGTTTGAGGTCCCTTCCTACTCAAACCAATCTGTGAGTCTATGGTTTGGGTTCTTTGGGTGTTTGAATTGTGCCAATGTGATAAAATACTTGCCTATCATCCAGGGGATAAGGTAAGGTGGGCTTAAGCTCACAACCTTGTCCACAGCCCCACAGAGAGCAGGGCTCTGCAGTGTGACACCTTTGCCCATCTTTTACTCACAGGCACCCACTGCTCAGCTCCTCCAGGACCCCTCGGAGCCGGCGCTCGGGGTGCGGCTTCTCCGTCTTGATCATCTCCTGCACGTCATTGAGCCCTTCCTCCTGCGGCATCAATGGGGGAAGTGGTGAGGGGGCTGTGGGTCAGAGCCCCATGGTGGGGCAAGGTCCACCCTGAGGTCTAAACCTGCATAGAACAGCGCTGTGGGTGACGTCAGTGGGAGACATCTGCAGCTTTTCCAGACCTGCTGGCCTCAGGGCTCAGGTCTGGCACACATTTGGCTGTGGGGACCTGGCTCTAGGTGATGGATATGGTCCCACTGCTCTCCATAAGCCTAATTGGCCAAGATCTACATCATCTTGGATGGACCATCCATTCCAGGTTGGATGAGACTTTGAGCAGCCTGATCTGGTGGGAGGTGTCCCTGCTTATGGCAGGAGGTTGGGACTTGATGAGTTTTAAAGACCCTTCCAACCCAAACTATCCTATAACTATATGATCTTCCAGGCACTTCCTTTCAAATCCTGCTTGTGACCTTGTCAACGTGGAGCCATCAAAAGGCTCTTTGGGAATTAGTTGAGACTATGAAGGAGCCTGTGCTACACAAGTGGTTCTCTTCACAGTCTAGAGCGGATGAAGCCTCCCTGCTTCTGCTCCCTTTGGTGGGGACACCTGGATCTGACCTGTAGAAAATTCAGTGAGCTTTTACGATTTGGACTTTCAAACTGTAGAGCATTTGGCACTGGAAAACGTGAGTTCTTGCTTTGTGACAAGCTGCAGAGGTGCATAGGGAGCCTGGATGTGCCTCACGCCAGCCCCATGCCCCAAGTTGCCTCCCTTCCTCTACTGACCAGCTTGTCGGCGATCTTGTCCATAATGTTGGCATTATACAATCTGCGGCGCTGGTCCTGCCACCAGCTCTTGATGTAGATGCAGGGCTTCTTCTCAAAGTATGGCAGATGGAAATAGTTCCTGCAAGAAGAGGAAGAAGAGATGCTCCGTGGTGGTAATGCTCCCAGATGGGAACAGCCCCTGTCCCACACCTCTCTGTGATGGAGAGGAGGGGTACATAGGAGGACAGGCGTTGCACCCTGAAGAACAGAGACTCCATCTCTCCTAGCACCCGTCCCAATGCCAGACATGGATGCAGTGCCCAGGGATTGCAAATTTACCATCTCAGACCTGGTGACCCAGAGAGAAGCTAAGGCAGCTCCCATGACCTCACCCATAGCCCAGCAGAGAGCAAACGTCTCCATCGCTGGTGGGATGGAGTGGCAATGGTCACGGTACAGTTAAGGGGAGGATGAGGCCAAGAATGGGTTCGTCCTTCTTGGCTGCTGCACCCAGGATCACCCTTAGTTAAAACCCAGCCTCAGCTCATCCTTCGGAAGCCATCAGGCTGCTTCCAGCCAGAAGATGTCAGCAGACCCCCACGGTTGAGCGTGAAGCTCCCAGCACCAAAGGGATGGAGACGTGGGGAGAGGGCTTGAAAGGCAGCGCCCAGGGGATAGGCTCAAAAAACATCTTCACTTCTCATCTCTAATCACCTCGACAAGGAGCTGATGAACAAGTGAGGAAACCCCAGGCAGACACTTTTATTTGGAGCACAAATACCCTCAATTCAGCGTTTCATTTCCTGATTGAATTAAGTCAACCTGTTAATTCTATTACCATTTATCTACTGGTATAACAAGGTTAAAATCCACTGTAAGCATATATCATCAGGTCAAATCCTATTAGCTTTCCTTAGTACCAGCCCTTTATATTCAAATCCAGGCTGTGGCTGAAACCCAGCCCATTTGTCCCAAGACACATCTGCTGATCCTGTCCAGTTTGGGGCTTTCTAATCCAGCTGCTTGGGACAGAAAGCACCCACCAAGAATCCCACTTTGGATTTTGTCTGTATTTTAGGGTAACAGCAGCATTCTTTCCTCTCTGCATGACTGTGACCTTGTCTAGCTTCCAAGAGCCCAAGTGATGAAGACACACACCTTGCCTTAGCATGAATTACCTTTGCTACTGAAAGCTGAACCTTATCTCTAGATGGACTTTGCCTGTCTCCATGTGATGCCCATGATGTCCTTCTATGCCAGGAAGCTATGGAGAGCACAGATGTAAAGCCCAGACCTCTCCTCCCTGATGGTGCAGTACTGGGTTGTGCCACCAAGGGTGGCAACAGGCCTAGGGATGAGCCTGTTTTTAAACTGGCTTTCTATAAGTACAAATCTTACACATATAGGAGTGAACCTGTTTTTCAGTGGCACCAATGATTTTTGAATCCACTGGTTGACTTCATCCCTAATTGCCTTAGGCGAAGAACGCTAAATGTATCAGACAGCCATGAGTTTTGGGTGGACATCTGGCCAGGTGGGTGAAGGATGTCCTTTGTAGGGCAGCCTGGGGGGTGAACTTGGTCCTTGTTGAACATCAGAGCATCCACAGGGGTGCTCAGGACAGTAGGGAACGGGGTGGGGGATCAGTTGGCAGATTGTGGTATCTAAAATGAGGAATCTACACATGGTATCTAATCTCCCTTCACAGGGCATGGAGATTCAGTCCCCACTGCTGCTCCCAGGTCTGTTTTGGCCAAATGACTCCAGGCCATGTGATGCCACTGACTTCATCTTCACACTTACCTGTCTGTGACCAGGGGCTTCACGGGCTGGGATGAAGAAACGGAGACCAGCTCTCCATCCTCATCACCTTCATCCTCACTTGAGTTCTGGAGCAGCTCGGACTCTTCCTCATCCCCATCCCCTCCCTCTTTCTTCCTCCTTAGGATGGGTTTGGTCATGCCATCGATCTGGTTCCCATAGTTACCTCAAGAAAAAAAAGTGAAATAAAGTCATAGGGTTGTAACTCCAATCACGCTCAATCTCTTGGCTTCAATTCAGATCGGGGAGAAGTTTTCTCTGCAGGAACCATTGGGGACAGCAGAGTTCAACTTTTTGAAACCATGCATGAGAACCATAAATCAGTGATGGGTGTCTGTCCCCTCCTTGAGCCAGGAGGTACACGCACCCTCCTTTTGGTCATCAGCCTCAGGAGGCACAAAGCCAGGGTGAGAGAGGGACCAGCACCATGGCATGCACACAATACACGGTTTGGGACCCCAAGCAGCTTGTGCTGGTGAAGGAGCCATCACCTTCTCCCTAAACTGAGAGCCCTGTGTACTCTGGCATGCGCTGGTATGAAAAATGGGGCAGAAACCTTGCTCTCAGTCTTGGATCTTGCATTCCCCACCAGGCGTGCTTCAAAACCACCCTCCCAGAAAGACCCAACCAACCTATTGTGACTTCAAAGTTGATGGGTTTGTCCCCAATCTTTCTGTCGATCATGGTAGCTTCCAGGAAGGCTCCAAAGAGGAAGAACTCCTCCATCTTCCCTGTGCAGTTCTGCAGGAGGAATAATGGAAATTGGGGTTGATGGACACATAGGAGGGCAGGTCCCTTTGGGCACAGGGATGCATCACCTGGCACCTCTGAGCACTGTCATGGGCTTTTTGAGGGAGCTGGGGGGTTCAGCTGGAGAATAGAAGGTGAGTGGAGACCTTATCCCCTCTGCAGCTCCTGAAAGGAGGGGGTAGCAAGGAGGGGCCGGGCCCTACTCCCCATAACAAGCGATGGGACGAGAGGAAATGGCCTCAAGTTGTGCCAGGGGAGGGTGAGGTTGGATGTGAGGGGAAATTTCTTCATGGGAAGGGTTCTGAGGGACTGGCAGGGGCTGCCCAGGGCAGTGGTGGAGTCCCCATCCCTGGAGGGGTTCAAAGTCGGGGAGATATGGCACTTTAAGACATCGTTTAGTGAGCATGGTGATGGGTTGACAGTTGGACTTAATGATCTCAGAGGTCTTTTCCAATCTTAATGATTCTATGATTCATTAAGGAGACTACGAGAGTTTCCTCTCCCCTACCCTGAGCCAACTCTAGGCTCACTGCAGAATTTAATTAAAGATTTCGGTCTAATTTTTAGAAGTATTAGCTTAAGTGAGATCAGTCATTCCTTGCACGTGAGAGACTGTCTAAGGGACATTCAGAAATGTGAACAATTTATGACTGAACAATGTGTTCAGTCATAAATTGAATTACTCAAACCACACTGAACTATCTGCCTGGATCCAATTGCTGGACTGGGGTGGCTCTATTCCCAGGTGGCTTCATTTTCCATGGAAATGAATTGAGGCCACTTTACTTCTGAAGGAGAACTTTCATATAGACGATGCCCTGCCATTAGACTTCTCCATTTCTACTTCACACCCTTGGACCATATGGATTGACATATGTGGGCATCCTCAGGTAGGACAAGCCTGGATGTATCTGTTTATGCAGAGCACAGGCTGCAGCCTTGTGGTCTTTACACATCAGGACTAAATTTGTGGAGGTTTTCCTGTCAGGAAATGGCTATTTAGTTTCTCTGACCAGTTTCTCCCTGCCAGAATTGGTTGGGAAATAGATTAGATTCTTGGCTTCTGTCTGAAACCCATCTTCAGGATAGGAGCGAGACATCAGAAGATGACTCTTTGTCCTTGTCTAACTCCCAACTGGAGAAACATATTAAAGTTCAGGATTTTCCCTCACTCAGGTATTTCTTCTGTCCTTTCTTCTGCTGATTTCTAAGAGAAGTGAGCATTTGAATGATCCTAAAATATGAAATTCTTGCAAGGTTTGCTTTAAGTGTGCTCAGGGATCCAGAACATTTAGGGCAACACTAAATGAAATCCATGGTTTGTGAGACCGAAGATAATCAATTAAGAGGCCTGAGACCCAAGACTCACCACTGGCAGACATCAAGTAAGGGGTGACTTACATCAGCAACGGATGTGGCCTGCTCGACTTGCACCTCGGTGGAGCTGTTGATCTCCGGGTTGCTGGTGTCCAAGATCTCCACGGCAAGGCTCATCAAAAGCCTGGCCCGGAAGGAGACACCTTCACCCAGACCCTCGTTCAGCTCTTGGTGCTCGTCCATCAGGGTGTAGTTGCGTGTGGAGCCGTACATGTTCACCCACGCAGGGCCGAAGGTGGGCAGGAAGCCTGCAGCAGAAGGGGCATGCATGTAAGGAAGGGGATGTGCAAGGAGGAGGGCAGGTCTTTGCCTCAGGATACAAACTCGCTCTTGGATTGGTGTGATCTGCATACACACTTGAATATGCATGCATGTGGGCATGGAAATGAACGATGGCAACCACACATTGGGCAAGCTACCAAGAAAAAATAATCCCCTTATTACTCCCCTTTCTAGAGCCATCTTTGGTTTCACATTGGTCCTGCCTACAGATGCTGGTGCGTTCATGTGTGCGTGAATGGGGGAGCCTGTCACATATTCATCCATACATGGCAGTGGATTTTTTGTTCTTGGGTGGTTTTGCTTTCAAGTGGTAGACTGAAGGCTTGGGACAAGGCTTGAATTCAAAGAGCACGTGTCCAGTGACCTCAGGAGACCACTACAGTGCATCAAAGTCTCTCCAGCTGAGCACCAAGAACCAGCTATCTCCAGGGGTGAGAAATTGGTGGCTATCCCCACCCTAACCCTTCTAGAGGTGGGGAAGGAGCCTAGGCTATTTTGCTGACTCCTTGCCAAAGGGATGGCTCTACCATGAAGAAGGTAGCTCAGTCTGCCCCCCACCTTAGCTTTACCTTTGTCTCCTTCGTTAGAGATCTTCCGCAAATCAATGAAGTGGGTACCAATGGCCACATCGTTGACTTTGTCCGAGTCTCGGATCTGGATCTTTATCCGCTTGCACAACGGGGGAAACATTTCTGTGAAAACTATTTGCTCGTTCCAGAGAGGCTCATAGCTGCTTTTCTGTATGGATGTCTTCCCCTGCCGAGCGGGAGGAGATAGGTGTTCAACAAGGGTTTGAGCTCCCAAGCCATCCCTCACAACCTGAACTTCTCACTTGCTAATAACCACTGAAACACTTATTCTGTCTTATGATTCTCAAGTCACAAGCTCCTTTCCTCAACTGGAAAGAGCTGCAAACTCTCCATAGTCTCCACAAGAAAGGTGAAACATGGAAGACAAGGTGGCTTTGCCCTGCATCTCAGCATTTATGTGCCAGGAGACCTAAGACCCTCTCTGGCCACATGAACAATGTCCAGTCCTGCTCACGTTACCTCCTAGGGTCACCCTGGTACCACACGTAACCTGCTCACCTTCTGCCCTGCAAAGACCACCTGCACGTAGGGGTCCACTAAGTCCTTGTTCTCCCCAATGAGAGCCTTCTTCACGTTGGCCATGATGCTGGTATTCATCCGGGGCAGCCCCTCTGCTCGATAGATCTTGATGTAGAAACGAGCCCACTGCCTCTCCGGTGGGACCCCATCTGGGAGGAGGAGGTTCCTGCAATGTCAACAGAGAGGGTTGGGGTTTATCAGAAAAGGCTTACCAAGGAGGGAGATGTTGCCCTCATTTTAAAGCATGGGCTCTGCAGAGGTGAAAAGATCACCATTTCTGCAGCCCTACATAGTATTGCTGTTCTGGTTCTGTCCATCCTCCTCTTTTGGGGTGTGGAATGGTAGCTTCATAAACAAAAACTTAAAAGAGCCTCTTGAGGTGCCCCTGGGAGAAGGTTCATCTCACTAAAGGAATATAATAATTATTGTCAGTGGAGTCTAGAGGATATTTAAGCTCAGCCTAATTTAGACACCTAAAGCGGGCCAGACAAATGGGATGTTAGAAGAGCCTGTTTTCTTTATCAGGGCACAAGAGGAGCTGGGGTGAGTATTTCTGGAGGAGGCTTGAACTCCATCAAATGGCTTTTCTTGGTGTATTTGGCTTTCCTCTTCTGGAGGAAGCAATGAGAGCCATGGGGGATGCTGTGAACAAAACAATTTCTAGAGGAACTGCTGGAATTGTCCATGAGAAAGTGGGATAATATTATCACTACAGCATGGAACAGTGACCCAAAACAGTTCAGATGGTGCCTCCAGCCCACTCATTTCCAGTAAATCAAGAAAGCTGCACTGGTATTTTGCTACTAGTCTGTTTTTCTTACTACGTGGTGAGAGGCTGAGAGGTAGATTCGAAAGCTTGTGGTTGCATTTGGAGATATTTAATCAACCTGAAACATTTTGGAGCTGGAACTAAGTTTTAAACTCTTCTGACTTTTCTTTCATGAGCTTTTAGAGGAGTCGCAGAGCCCTACCCACCCATGCAGCCTGGGAAACCTCATCCAGACCTCCCTGCTCTGCCCTGGAAGTGGATGGTGAGGACCCATCTCATCATCTTCCCATCCAAACACCAACAGGAGCACAAGTTAGGCAGTGGGGACATCGAGTTGGTTGACATCGGGCTGGTGTTGGTGTGGGGAATTCAACAACCAGCAGATGGTCTGACCAGGCAGAAATGACTGGTCTGTACTTGATATGAACTGGGTTTGCACCAGATATCTGCCACGTGTTCTCTCCCTGAAAAGTCACTTATTGGACCCCCCCGATTTCAAGGGGTATGACAAGGTAGTTATGGGTATTAGAGGGGCTGTCAGTCTGATGTGGCGGGCTGATGTCTTCATTGTAAGATCCAAAGTAAAGAGATGGGAAAAGTAATTCCCAAGAAAGTCTGTGTGAAGTTGGCCTTGCAGATCCTTACCCTTCAATATCATCCTCATCTGTCTCATTGGCTTTGTGTGGTGTCTTGATGTTGTCCCCTTTCC